TTGTTTTACTTTACAGTCTCTTTGCATGGTTATAGATCAAATTCTTGTTTTTTAATATTTTATTTTTATTGTTAATTTTTTATGATTAAAATTATACGCCAAAATTTTTGTAATTTTTATTTTAAAATTGTAATAAATTTGATTCGGTGCCTTATATATAACCCTACTGTCGTTCACTATACAAAAATATAAACTATAATTGAGTCTAAAGTGCATCTCTGCTGAAAATAATGTCAATGGAATGATTGATGGTGACATACGCAAAGATAGGGAGCAGGAATATACACAAGAGAAATTAAACATTTTAAATTAAATATACTTATGAATATATGTATGTACGCACACATAAAAATACATATTTTAAAATATGAATACATTCATGTACGTTCGCTAATCACTACAAACCAATTTTTAAATACTTCTTTCAAATAATGTGATTGTTCATATTTAAATACATAAGTACTCAAATGTTTGCGTTTTTTGCGTATATTTATGTACATGTATGTATGTATATATAATATGATCTTTCCCTAGCAAATTAGTTCATTTATGGTGCTTAAATTGCAACATATGGACGGACTTCTTTTACAGAGCACATAAATCGATAAACAAATCGATAATAAATAGGGAATTAACGCGATTTATGCAATCAGTAGAGAAACAAAGGAAATATTTCAGCATACTATTTAARGCAGTAACTAGTAGATTAATAATACGAGTAGGTTAATGTACTTACATAACTTCATATTCCTTTATTTGTAGGCATCTTCTTCCGCGACGGTCCAGTATGGAAAGAACAGCGTCGTTTCATTTTACGCTATCTTCGTGATTTTGGTTTTGGTCGACGCTACGCTGAACTTGAATCAGTTATCCAAGAGGAGATAACTGATCTTTTAGATCTTATTCGAAATGGTCCACGTTATACGCATGAACGAGAAATATCAAAACCCGGCGGCTATAGAGTTTGTGTGCCAAATCTATTTAGCCCATTTACATACAACTCTTTCTTTCACATCATGATGAATGAGCGACGGCCACGTTCAGAGCAGGGCGAGGTATTGCAATTGATTAAAATGGGTATGCAATTTCAGCGCAACGGTGATGATTATGGAAAAATGYTATCTGTAATACCATGGATTCGCTATGTATTTCCTAAATGGAGCGCCTATGATGTTTTGACGGAGGCAAATAAATTTATTTATGAGTATTTCGCAAAAATTGTGGATGAACATATTGCCACATATGATGAGTGTAGTGAGCGAAATTTTCTCGATTTATATATTAAACAAATGAAGCTCGAGCATGCGGATCACCAAGTGGATGTTTATTATCGCACTCAATTCATAATGGGTTTGATAGATTTTGCTTTCCCTGCGTTTACAGCGCTTGGCGTACAAATGACATTTTTGCTACAACACCTTCTTCTTCAACCGGAAGTGATGAAACGTATACAAGCGGAAATAGATGAGGTTGTAGGTAGAGGACGTTTGCCCACACTTGAAGATAGAAAGAATTTACACTTTACAGAAGCTGCTGTACGTGAGGGCTTGAGAATTGAGACGTTAGTGCCATCCGATGTACCGCACAAAGCATTGATGGACACGGAGCTAATGGGCTACAAGATACCAAAGGTATTTCATGCATTTTACATTTTATTTCAATAAATTATTTAGTGCATTTCTTACATGAATTTTATTTAGGATACAATTGTTGTGCCTAGCTTGTATGCTTTCCATGTTGATGAACGCACCTGGGGTGATCCACAAACATTTAGACCRGAACGCTTTCTGGATGAAAACGGAAAGCTTGCGCTGAAGAAGGATGTGTCACTTCCTTTCGGCGCTGGTAAGGATCGGCAATTACTGCTTTTACATTTAATTTTTATAAATGTAACTATTTAACTGTTTTATAGGAAAACGTCTTTGCGCGGGAGAAACATTTGCACGAAATATGCTATTTCTTTTGACTGCATCACTTTGTCAAAATTTCAATTTTACTTTAGGTCCGGGTGACTCGTTGCCAGATTTATCGAAAAATTTTAACGGTTTAATTACAACTCCCTATGATTTCTGGTTGCAATTAGAAGAAAGAAACTGATTTTTAAATTTGTTTGCTTTATACATATATGTGTTTATGTAAAATGACGAAAGTAATAATAATAAATGAAAAGAAATACAACGGAAAATTTTTTAACATGCTTTAATGAAATGYTTCCTGTATGTGAATACATACTTTTTCTTTCCCTTCAATCAGTTTAAGAGAGACAAAACACATTTTAGAATAAAGAAAAGTGTTATGGTGGGCGTTAATAAGCAATAATCCTGCGAAGATTGCATTTGTATAATAAATTGTTTTAGAACATTGTGAATCTATCTAATCGTAAAAAGAAGAAGAAGTGCAGAGCAAGTGCCTGTACAAGCGTACCTTATATTATCACTGTGACCGATGAACGCCTTCAAATGACCGGGAAAACAATTTGCTATATTCGCTCTAACGAAAACTGAAAATTTTATGCAATGAGTGCAAAAGGTGTAACAACAAAAGCACTAGCGAAGAAACTATCCCAAAAGGGCCGAGTTGTTCGAGGTGCTAAAGTTCAGGTGAGTATATGTTTTGTGATTTTAGTTTTACATTTTGCGAATAACGGACTATTTGTTGGCGGTAGGACATCGAAGATGCCGTAAAATCACCATTTTTCTCACCCGTCCAAACCAGACAWCAACGTAAAAACACCAAGAGCCAACTAAAAAGTTCGGAAGTGCCAGTCAAATCGGAAAAATCAACTTCCACCTCAGTGATCAGAAAACCAATTAAAGTAAATGCTCTAACTAATAGCAATCAACTTCAAAGCGGTAAAATTAAAGAAAATGTCGCTGAAATTAAAGATGTGAAGTTGTATTCGGAAGAAGCAAATGCTAAAACGGAAAGTCAGMACAAATGGGAACCGCAAAATTGGCGTCTTATTTTGGAAAATATTAGAGCTATGCGTGCKGATGCGGCAGCACCAGTAGACACAATGGGATGTCACAAATGTTCCGATGATGAGGCAGATGAAAAAGTATATTTATATAAATTTAACATCATGACTTTATTTTAAAAACTAATATTTTATTTTAATAGACACAACGCTTCCAAAAGCTTGTGGCTCTTATGCTTTCAAGTCAAACGAAAGATGAAATYACTTACGAAGCAATGCGGCGGCTTAAAAGTAGTGGTTTAACACCACAAGCCATGATAGRCATAGAAACAGGAAAACTTGAAGAACTATTAAAACCAGTTTCATTCTATAAAGTAAAAAATGATTTAACTTAAATTAATTTGTAGGATATTAATTAATTTTTGTTTCAAGAACAAAGCCAAATATTTGCAATTAGCCTCGAGAGTGATTGTAAATAAATACGACAGTGACATTCCTGGCACTAGTAAAGAGCTCCAAACTTTGCCCGGTGTAGGACCAAAAATGGCTCATATATGCATGGCAACGGCATGGAATCAAGTAACCGGTATTGGCGTTGACGTGCATGTACATCGTATAGCAAATCGCCTTAAATGGTTACCTAAACCTACAAAAGAACCTGAACAGACTCGTGAGGGACTGGAGTCGTGGCTTCCACGAGAMATGTGGCAAGATGTAAATCATTTGCTAGTTGGTTTTGGACAAACAGTTTGTAAAGCTTTGCGGCCGCAGTGTTCGGAATGCTTAAATCGTGAAATATGTCCATCATCAACGCATAAAACTACAACTAAGAAAAAAATCAAAACGGAATCTGCAAATATTGCGACTAAAATATCAAAATTGGAGAATCCGTAAATGTTTAAAGTGTAAAAAGTGCCATAGAATGGAAAGTAGGATTAAAATCATATATTGTTTGGAAAACATACTACTGCTTACTRTATAATTAGATAAATAAAACATTTATATATTACACAGAATCTATATAATTTTGAGTTTTTGTTTTTTCAAGTACATGAGCTTGTGCAATGAATGGAAGTTGAATTTCAACAATTTGCTAGTGAAGGGACCATAAGATTTTTCTCTCTCTTAAGTGTTTAAAACGATGGCAAGAAAAAAAAACACTTGTTGGTTTGAGTGTATATGCATTTAATTAAAGACTGGTAACTTTATTTTACATTTAAACTTGGATATGTGTATAAAACAATGTAAATGCACTCACTACATGGGAACGTGYGATTGAAATTTCACGGCGAGGAGACCAGATGAGAAAAAAGACGTGCAGGACCTCGRTTGAATCAAATGCTTAACGCAGCGCGCAAGTTTCATCCGATCGATGTAAATATACGGAAGGTGTTGACTCGGTGCAGTGAAGAGCGTAATGTTGTGCAGAAGGATTGTTTAGAACGAATTGTATCTGCTTTCTCCTTGTCCATCCTTTTTGATGAGTGAGCTTATACGTATGGTGAGTTGTGTTGGTGTCATCAGCTGTGGTGAATTAAGCTGTCTTATTAGGGTGCGCCACTTTTCCAGAGTAGAGTGGGTGGATGCTTAACTTATTTAAACACTAAGGAACCCATAAACTAAGAATCGTGTGGTTATACAATAAATAAAAATGACATTTTTGGAARCACATCCTAATAGAACACAAAAAGGAGAAGTAGCTCTTAAATATAGAAAAGTTAATGAGTTTTTTAAATCTCGTTATTTTACAAATAACACATCAGTAATTTAAAATTTAATAGAAATGAAATAATATCAAAGATGCAACTTATGTTAGTCGGCGTTACTCCAAAAGCCAAACATATATTTTCAAATAAAAGTGCGATGTGGGTATAAATATTACAGCATATTCAAACAAATGGACCAGTATTAGAGCATTCCATTAAAATTTCATAAAATTATCATATAACAAGACTTGTATCCATTATAATTTATTTCTGCTTAGTTTCTTGATCAGTTACATAACGCACATAAATAACAGGATTTGGCACATTGGCAGGTGGTTCCTCAAACTCATCCATATATGAACAGGCAATAGCTAATGTGCTACCGTCATGACTGAAGTTTAGCGATGAGATAGAMGTGTCATATTGATGGAATTGACACAGACGCTTTTTGTTAAAACCATCCCATATGTTCACCAAACTATCTGATCCGCCCGTCGCAAAGGTATTATAAACGTTGTGGAAACTAATTGCATTTACTGGATAAATATGTTCAATGCTATCCTCTTTGTTYCGGTGACACTTGAAAGCAAACTTTCGCTTTTGTACTTCTGGATCAGGATCCAAATACTCTACAGCAACGCGTCCTTCAATTGAAGACATCACATACCCCTCTTTATTTGGAAACAGTCGAATGCAACGTGTTTGATATTTGAGCGATGATTCACGTTTCATCATATATTCTTCCATTTTTCGCAGATCCCAAATCAGAACTTTGCGATCGGACGTGGCCACAACGATTTTCTCATCATTCACAGACATTGAATACACTTTGCCGTTGCTCTGTTCGAARGTGCCAACGCAACGTTTCTCCCGCATATCCCACAATTTAATTGTTTTATCCCAACTGCCAGTCAATATGCCATTTACAGATTCAGCATATTCAACACAGCTTACAGCATCATCATGCGTACCAACAATGCTTTCGGTATGCGTATTTACATCGTACAAACGTAATTGTTTGTCCAGTGAACCACTTACGACATGCACTATGTCCTAAAATTATACGTAACATAAATATTTCTTGATATATATTATTAGCTCACTAACTATTTACCATGAATGCAACATCCATAACGGGCATATCCTCGACAAACTTCTGGCGCATGGCATTGTTGACGACGTCGTAGAACCTGACCGTGCCATCCCAGGCAGATGCGATAAGATATTGGTTAGTTTTTGGGCCAAATTTTACCGCAGATATAGCATCCTCGGGCGGATTGTTTAATTTTACTTCTGTTGGTCGCATGCCCCTTATTTGTTCGTTTTAATTAATCTATTTTCTCTTTATTTCTTTGTTTAGTTTATTATAAAAATCCGCACTTTTACAACCAGCGTCTAAATTTCAGCGTTCTTGTTCTTCTTTTGACGGCAATTCACCATAAACATAAAACAGTTGATTTTGAAACTATTCTATCAGGGTTGCTGCGCAATAAAAWAATTTGTTACTGCCATATTGCTAAAGCAAAAAGTTTAGTTAATGASAAATTTTAAGTACATATATTAAAAAGATATTGACGATTATCTTAGATCATACATATACACGGTATCAACAAGATATTTTTTGGTAAATGAATGAATGAATAATAATGTGTGAAGTAAGTCGGAGCTAAGTCTTGCATGATCGGTTATCTCGTGAAATAGTAACAACTGATTAAACTATCTCTAGAATTAAAASTGGAAAAATAAAARCTTTTCAATTTGGCAATTTATTGATACTTTTGAGCAGTAATTAATATAATTCATTCCAATCCATATAATACACTTYAAGCGCTTATTACAAGTTCAATATATACTGTGGTATTTGGATCGTGATACATATTTATGGATTTCGATTGCAAGCTACACGCTCAATATTAATCGCTTGAGAAAAGTATGTAAGGTTT